TCATTATTTTTGCATAAAACAACAATGGGTTGACTGTGAACTTAGAAAAGTTGCTTTTCAGTGTATGTGTGTATGTGTTTGTATAAAGGGATGAATAAGTGGACAGCATGTTGCAATAATAACTTAGCATCAAAGCAGGGCAAATTGTGGAAAGAATAATAAGCTTTACATTATAGTTATTTGTTACTGTGGAACAAGATTGAAATCTACCAATGAGCAGACAAAATGGGCAGACCGCCAAAATGGGGTTAATACTTTATAGTACCTTTCATGAATAAGCTGTATTTAATCATCAATAAATTAGTATTTCATTATTTGTAAACATTTATAAACATGTGCATTTACAAGCATTATAAGCATTACAATTCATAAGCATTTATAACATTTTATTAATGTATAAATCGTGATGACAGGTTTGGTTCAAGTGCATTCTCATCCGTTTCTATTCACTGCAAAACATTGTGCTAACATGTTTTGAGATGATGCAACAACCACAGGTCTGTCTGCCTGAATGACATCTAAACATAAAGAAAATAAGGCATGAGACACAAAGACCTTTAGGCAAATGAAGTTGGTCAAACTTAAGACACATAAAGAGAGTATTTATGTCCAGAGGGAGAATGGTAGTGATGAGTGACTAAACAGCTGCCTTGCTCCTCTCTTTGGTTGGCTTGTTGAAACAGCATCTTCAACAGTCTTTCATGCCATTGGATACGCTCCTTCACACTTTGTTCCCACAGAAAGACAAACACACACATGTGCACGCACACATACACACACACACCATAGGCAAATTTACCATATATGGTAAATACCAAAATAAAATAAATATATAAAAGTAAAACCGTGAGTCTGTGATAGAAGGAAAAGTGATGGCAAAATGTATTATTTAGGCTAATATATTAATATATTCCTACTTGTTGTCCACTTCAAGTTCAACAATATTGTTAGGAAACAGGAAGTGTTTAGGGCACAGGTAGACAGTACACTTCCACATCCCATCCCTAGGTGGCAGCATCAGCTATATTACTATACTGAACAAAAATATAAACGCAACATTCAACAATTTCAACGATTTTACCGAGTTACAGTTCATATAAGGAAATTAGTCAATTTAAATAAATCCATTAGGCCCAAATCTATGGATTTCACATGACTGGGCAGGGGCGCAGCCATGGGTGGGCCTGGGAGTGCATAGGCCCACCCACTGGGGAGCCAGGCCCAGCCAATCAGAATTAGTTTTTCCCTATATGTGGACCACAAAATGTGGTTGTAGGAAAATCGTAAATCTGGTGAAATGGTGCTTTTCATCAGCTGTCCGGGTGGCTGGTCTCAGACCATCCCGTAGGTGAAGAAGCCAGATGTGGAGGTCCTGGAGGCAAGCACTAGGCAGAATAAATTATTGGTTTCCTCAGTGCCTATGTGGTCCAGTTTTTACAGCCACTGACCCTGGCACACATAGGTCAGAGTCGGCATGGGTTTGAATTCTGCCCACTGCCCTTTGTCTCATGGATGTCTATTTGTGACGCATTAATTATGTGTGGTTACAGGGCTAATTCTGTGTGGTTACAGGGTTAAAACAGAAACAACTCAAAGGTTAACAGTTTAGGCATTAATTCCAAGTGGTTAAGGTTAGGGAGATAGTTTGGGGAAAATAATAAAAACGACTCGCCTGCAGTATTCATCATCAGTATTCTTCCTAGTATTCTTAGTGCTTGTCTAAGCAGCGTGCTCCGGCTCCAGTGACCAGCTTGAGCCTACATTAGGCCCACAAGTTCATTTCATTTATTTCAATGTTTTCAAGAAGTAAAATGAATACTCTGATTATTTACACAAACAGAATTGTCTATGGATATGATCAAATGCATAAACATTTTCACAGCTTTATGAAATGAAATATTAAAGCCACACAATACAAGCTTTCGATCCACACCAAAGACCAGAACTACAGTACCAGTCAAAAGTTTGGACACACCTACTCATTCCAGGGTTTTCCTTTATTTTTACTATTTTCTACATTGTAGAATAATAGTGAAGACATCAAAACTATGAAATAACACATATGGAATCATGTAGTAACCAAAAAAGTGTTAAACAAATCAAAATGTATTTTATATTTGAGATTCTTCAAATAGCCAGAATGTAGCCTATTGGAATATAATCAAATAACAAGGGGCATATTGCAACCATCGATGGCACTAGATTATCACCAGTTGATGTCTCGTTAAACCATCAATACGTGCCAAATTCACCCGCACAGCTGATTTGAACATCCTCATGAACAGACTAAGGGTGATTTATCTATACTGAACAAAAATATAAACGCAACATGCAACAATTTCAACGGTTTTACTGAGTTACAGTTCATATAAGGAAATAAATCTATTGAAATAAATTCATTAGGTCCTAATCTATGGATATCACATGACTGGGCAGGCGCGCAGCCATGGGTGGGCCTGGGAGTGCATAGGCCCACCCACTTGGGAGCCAGGCCCACCCACTGGGGAGCCAGGCCCAGCCAATCAGAATTAGTTTTTCCCTATATGTGGACCACAAAATGTGGTTGTAGGCAAATCTGGTCAATGGTGCTTTTAATCAAGACCGCTAGATATGAAATGTTTGTTTAAGGCAGTTTAACAGCATAGTTTATTTATTTTTTAAAGTTTGACTGAGCTACAGGCTAAAGCTATTATAAAGCAGTTAACTCTCGAAATGTATTTTGTCAGGCAACCTTCAGTCCAGTCGTCACCAGAGGGCAGTCAAACTCCACAATGGATATTTGTGCATTATATGGATGGTACATACAGGTAACTGCCAAAATAAAGGAAAAAACAACATAAAGTGTCTCAATAGGGCGTTGGGCCACCATGAGCCGCCGGAACAGCTTCAATGCGCCTTGGCATAGATTCTGGTGTCTGGAACTTTATTGGAGGGATGCGACACCATTCTTCCAAGAGGAATTCCATCATTTGGTGTTTTGTTGATGGCAGTAGAAAACACTAGGTCTCAGACGCCGCTCCAGAATCTACCATGTGTTCACACATTAGACTACTCTTTTAAAGTCACTGAGATCTCTTCTTCTAGCAATGGTATTTTTATACATGACCCTAAGCATGATGTGATGTTTTAATTGCTTAATTAACTCAGGAACCCCACCTGTGTGGAAGCACCTGCTTTCAATATACTTTGTGTTACTCAAATGTTTCCTTTATTTTGGCAGTTACTTGTAGGTTGGTTAGGTGGATGAAGAGAAGTTGGAAGACGGGGAGTGTTTTTCAAAGCATGGTTTTAGATGGCGCATTATGATGTTTATATACACACAAATCTACTGAGCTTTGCAATATGATACCCAATGGAAGAAGCATTAGTATGAAGACAAGTTAGGATTTTAATTTGTCAAAGTTAGACACACTTTTAGAAAACATCTGTGAGCTGCACATTTCTTTTACATAAAACATTTTAAACCATAGAATTACTTTAAAATCAAATAACACAGTGAAAGGTTAAGGCACTTACCATCAACCAATGGTTTACATATTTCAAAAATAAAAGTTTGTGTTTTGTTGCTGTGTGTATGCATTAGGTAACTTGTTTGTAAAATCTCCCTCAGAGCGATAGATGGGCTATAATTTATATGAGCAATTAGATTAATGTAACAATGACATGCAGAACAGCAATCTCCAGTACAAGCTTAATCACTGGCACTTTGGACATACAAGGGCACAATAAGGACAACAGGAAGTTCAGTCCACTAGTTTCTTTCTTCAGTCTATCACAACAAGCTGGTAAACCTGAGAAAATATTGTTGATCACAGAGGGATAAAAAAGGCTTCAAAATAACTGGAAGCGAAAGGTTCCCACATGTAAGCTGCCTGATGAATATCTCATACCACCATGAATATGAGAGAGCAATACTCACAGTTAATCTATAAACTCAACTTTATTCGTTATACCTATAGTATAAACCTGACTTAAGTCAGTTTCTGCATTTGAAGTTACACAAGGCAGAGATCAGGCTACATGCTGATGCATTTGACAGCAATGGCAAAATCCTTCCAGCCACACTGGACTGTTTCAATATCCTAGTTTTCTAACAGAATATCACAAAGTATTTTATTTTGCATTAAGTAAATAAAAACTGCATCAGAAAGCGTGACACCCCACTCCCTCATTTCTTCGGGTCGGGCGGGGCTACTCTACTTATTGCCGCTGCCCTGCGGAGGAGGTGCCCCAGAAGCGAGACGTCTCACTGGCAAAAAGGTCCCCTGTAGCTCAGTTGGTAGAGCATGGCGCTTGCAACGCCAGGGTTGTGGGTTCGTTTCCCACGGGGGGCCAGTATGAAAATGTATGCACTCACTAACTGTAAGTCGCTCTGGATAAGAGCGTCTACTAAATGTCTAAAATGTCAATGTTAAAAAAATCTGTGTCGGGAGAGCAGGGAGGGGACAATAAGTAGACCAGAGCCATTGGTTTCACACGGGAAAGCATGCTCATGTGAAAGAGGGAACACACACTTACACAGACAGGAACCGTGACCATTTTTTCCAATGGTAAACTGCCTCAATAAGACATCTTCATTTATCCACCATCTTTGGTCAAAACATTAATCCATGTTAGCATGGGCACTTTCTTCTAGGTTGGGCGATTTAAAATCTCATATTGTTGAGTTCTCCTTGTTAAATCTCATGGTAAACTATTCAAGAATCACGTCATGGGTATACAATAATATCATAAAATTGCCCAACCCTACTTTCTTTGTTCCCGTTAGGCTCCTGTCTAGATGTACTGTTACAGTACATGCGCTACTGTCTGGTTGAACCCAAAACAAGAAATTATGTAAACGAAACATGTCTAACACCACAGTTAGACTTATATATTTAGGCACTAGGCAGGTCTGTTACTTCACTCCAAGGCCACATATGTAAATCCCCTGCTCACTCTAGACGTGCACTGTAGGCTAAACGTCTTCTAGGAAAGAACCAGGAGCGAAACAGGCTGCTTTAGGTCTCCTCGTCCCATGGGCAGAGCTGTCTATGGGGGACGTAGTAGTCGAAGCGGTAGCCCTTGCTGCAGCTCCTGATGCCACACTTATAGGGGTTGGCCCTTCCAGCCACGGCCAGGCGGCTGCGGCAGTATTTGAGCATGCAGGGGAGCCACTCCAGACGCAGGAAATAGCTGCAGATGCAGGGCTGCCACATATCCAGAGTGGAGGGGCATCGCTGCAGACCAGCGGCGTCCGCTGTCTGGGGCAGGGGCTCAAATTCAATGGCCTCTATTCCTGGAGAGAGAGAGATTTTAAATTGTGACTTTCGATCAAGGAATTTCTATTGAACTGTATGGCAATGAACTCTATGGCTGTGCAGACATACAGTGGGGGAAAAAAGTATTTAGTCAGCCACCAATTGTGCAAGTTCTCCCACTTAAAAAGATGAGAGAGGCCTGTAATTTTCATCATAGGTACACGTCAACTATGACAGACAAAAAGAGAGAGAAAAAAATCCAGAAAATCACATTGTAGGATTTTTATGAATTTATTTGCAAATTATGGTGGAAAATAAGTATTTGGTCACCTACAAACAAGCAAGATTTCTGGCTCTCACAGACCTGTAACTTCTTCTTTAAGAGGCTCCTCTGTCCTCCACTCGTTACCTGTATTAATGGCACCTGTTTGAACTTGTTATCAGTATAAAAGACACCTGTCCACAACCTCAAACAGTCACACTCCAAACTCCACTATGGCCAAGACCAAAGAGCTGTCAAAGGACACCAGAAACAAAATTGTAATAATAATATGCCATTTAGCAGACGCTTTTATCCAAAGCGACTTACAGTCATGCGTGCATACATTTTTACGTATGGGTGGTCCCGGAGATCAAACCCACTACCCTGGCGTTACAAGCGCCGTGCTCTACCAGCTGAGCTACAGAGGACCACAAATACATTTACATTTTAGTCATTTAGCAGACGCTCTTATCCAGAGCGACTTACAGGAGCAATTAGGGTTAAGTGCCTTGCTCAAGGGCACATCAACAGATTTTTCACCTAGTCGGCTCGGGGATTAGAACCAGCTACCTTTCGGTTACTGGCACTACGCTCTTAACCACTAAGCTACCTGCACCAGGCTGGGAAGACTGAATCTGCAATAGGTAAGCAGCTTGGTTTGAAGAAATCAACTGTGGGAGCAATTATTAGGAAATGGAAGACATACAAGACCACTGATAATCTCCCTCGATCTGGGGCTCCACGCAAGATCTCACCCCGTGGGGTCAAAATGATCACAAGAACGGTGAGCAAAAATCCCAGAACCACACGGGGGGACCTAGTGAATGACCTGCAGAGAGCTGGGACCAAAGTAACAAAGCCTACCATCAGTAACACACTACGCCACCAGGGACTCAAATCCTGCAGTGCCAGACGTGTCCCCCTGCTTAAGCCAGTACAAGTCCAGGCCCGTCTGAAGTTTGCTAGAGTGCATTTGGATGATCCAGAAGAGGATTGGGAGAATGTCATATGGTCAGATGAAACCAAAATAGAACTTTTTGGTAAAAACTCAACTCGTCGTGTTTGGAGGACAAAGAATGCTGAGTTGCATCCAAAGAACACCATACCTACTGTGAAGCATGGGGGTGGAAACATCATGCTTTGGGGCTGTTTTTCTGCAAAGGGACCAGGACGACTGATCCGTGTAAAGGAAAGAATGAATGGGGCCATGTATCGTGAGATTTTGAGTGAAAACCTCCTTCCATCAGCAAGGGCATTGAAGATGAAACGTGGCTGGGTCTTTCAGCATGACAATGATCCCAAACACACCGCCCGGGCAACGAAGGAGTGGCTTCGTAAGAAGCATTTCAAGGTCCTGGAGTGGCCTAGCCAGTCTCCAGATCTCAACCCCATAGAAAATCTTTGGAGGGAGTTGAAAGTCCGTGTTGCCCAGCGACAGCCCCAAAACATCACTGCTCTAGAGGAGATATGTATGGAGGAATGGGCCAAAATACCAGCAACAGTGTGTGAAAACCTTGTGAAGACTTACAGAAAACGTTTGACCTGTGTCATTGCCAACAAAGGGTATATAACAAAGTATTGAGAAACTTTTGTTATTCACCAAATCCACCATAATTTGCAAATAAATTCATTAAAAATCCTACAATGTGATTTTCTGGATTTCTTTTTCTCATTTTGTCTGTCATTGTTGACGTGTACCTATGATGAAAATTACAGGCCTCTCTCATCTTTTTAAGTGGGAGAACTTGCACAATTGGTGGCTGACTAAATACTTTTTTCCCCCACTGTACATCCAAAAGCAAAGGGAACCTTAGGCAACACAATGGAAATGAAAGCTAGGATAGATAGAATGAAGACGTTCCTTTAAACACCCAAACACTTACAGAGCATCTCAATGGAAGCCAAACTTACCTTCATCCAGCCAATGCTTGGTGTCGGCCGTCCGGGTATAAAACCCCTCGTGGGCCTCCTTACACAGGTTGTGGATGTGTGTGTTGAGGTGCCCTGTACGACTCACGTTCACCACCATGTCCATGTGGAGGTGTTCCACCCCACGCCTCTCCTCTGCCATGTGGACCAAGTGTGGGTTCTTCTGTAGAATCCCAACACAGAACAGATCCATATTAAAATGTGAGGACATTCAAACAAGGACTAGTAGTGCTAGTATAATAAATTGAGCAATGGAAGTAAGCTCTACTACTTTTGTGTTACGGTTAAAACAGATTGGTGGTACATGTAAAAAAATATATAGTAATTTAAATGTAAAAGTCAGATAACATTGTTCAGTAAGGAACATTTTAATTGCCTACTACAATTACATTTCTACATGATTGAATTGAATTGAATTTGAATTGATGATGGGCTGGTTTCCAAACACAGAGGTAGTCCTGGACGAAGAAGCATGCTCAATGAAGATACTTCATTTAAAGTCCAGGACGAGGCTTAATCTGTGTCTGGGAAACCAGCCCAACAGATGTCGGATCTTAACTTGACCCCTTTCGTCGCAGGAGGAAAATAATATCTGAAGAAATATTTAGAATCGGCGCCAAGGTGCAACTGGAAGCAGTGTTTGTATACAATGCACACCGTACCTACATTGTACCTTATGAAGGCTACAGCACTTCTCGTATGAATTCTTATCTGGATTATAATTCATTTACATATTAGTATTTTTCGTTAGGGAATATATATTTTTTTTGTATCAATTGTTTTATGGTTTTTTGAAGGCAAGCACTAGGCAGAATAAATGATTGAATTCCTCAGTGCCTATGTGGTCCAGTGTTTACAGCCACTGACCCCGGCACACATTTGTCAGAGTCGGCATTGGTTTGAATCCGGCCCACTGCCCTTTGACTCATGGATGTCTATTTTTGACACATTCCGCGTGGTTACAGGGCTAATTCCGCGTGGTTACAGGGCTAATTCCGCGTGGTTACAGGGTTAAAACAGAAACAACTCAAAGGTTAACAGTTTAGGCATTAATTCCAAGTGGTTAATGTTAGGGCTATGGTTTGGGGTAAATAATTCAAACGACTCGCCTGCAGTATTCATCATCAGTATTCTTCCTAGTATTCTTAGTGCTTGTCTAAGCAGCGTGCTCCGGCTCCAGTGACCAGCCTGAGCCTACATTAGGCCCACAAGTTCATTTCATTTATTTAAATGTTTTCAAGAAGTAAAATTAATACTCTGATAATTTACACATCAAAGAAAAGTATCTCAGCTCAACAAAATCATCTATGGATAGGCTCAAATGCATAAACATCTTGACAGCTTTACGAAATGAAATAATAAAGCCGCACTATACAAGTTTTCAATCCACACCAAAGACCAGAACTACATTGACAAATTATACATAGCCTAACTATAAAACACAGAAATTGTTTACCACGGCAAATCTACTATGGTAATTTACCCGACACTTTGTATGAATGGGAACTAATATTGGTGTAGCCTACTGTTATTATTTTATTCATTTCCTATTTATGTTATTCAAAAGTGTCTAGTGTGGTCATTTCTTATTGTCGCGGGTGTTTTGGACGGAGTCGGGCGCAGGAGGGGTAAATCACAGAATAAATGGTTTATTGTGCAAATACAGCGGTACGCAGCAATACGTAAAACAACTACAGTGCGGTATAATGGCGCACTGGAGAAAACAAAACACACGGGTGAATATCCCGGCGATAAGTACATAAAGCTCCACCGAGCTATCGACACCTCCACAATCACACACAAAGACATGGGGGGCAGAGGGAATACTTATACAGGTACTGATGAGGGGATATGAACCAGGTGTGTGTAAAAACAAGACAAAACAAATGGAATGATGAGATGAGGAGCGGCAGTGGCTAGAAGGCCGGTGACGACGAACGCCGAAGCCTGCCCAAACAAGGAGAGGAGGTAGCTTCGGAGGAAGTCGTGACACTTATCAAGATATTTGAAATGTGTAACTAAATCAAGTCAATCGGGGCAAATTAGTTATTTGTGCCAGAAGGGCGCGGGCCGGAATCAAATCAATGCTGATACGATAGGCCTATATGTGCGCTCTGAAGGCAGCGGCCCTAACCACTAGACCACCCCAGACCACAATTGAACAAAATGTTGACCTTAGGATACACTGGACACTTGTATGTCGTAGCCTAGTGTTGACCAATATCGATCTTATGTTATTAAGCTACATAAAACGATGGTTGTTGATGTGTATGGCTGCATTTCAGATACAATTTTGTACATTTGAATGTTGCAGTAATAGGACCTAGGCCTAGCATTTGAGCGATCGAGAGAGAACATTATTTTGAAAGCAAGCCCTGATCCCCAAGACTCACGAGGCTCATTCAAATTTCCTGATGCAGCAGGAAAACTATCTGCGACAAAACAGTGATCAAGTTAAGATCCGACATCTGTATAACATGTTTATTGTGACACAATGTCTCTTATAATAATACCATTGGTACTGTTCCTCCACATCCAAAACCTGTCCCTTGTTACATCTCCCTATACCCTATATGGGAATGATGGCCTAGATTATGAGGGAAGGTGATGGTTTGTTACAGCAGCTCACCTGTCTGAGACGGGCCATGGACTCAGTGGGGATGATCTCGTGTTGATTGAGCCGTGAGATGAAGCACAGCACCTGGTATTGGTTCTGTCCTCGCTCCGGCTCCCCCAGGATCAGAGCTCGTATGATCCTCACATCCTGACAAAAAAGAGAGATGAGATAAATATGAAGGCCATAAATCAACAGGAAAACGCTCATCAACAGGAAAACGCTCATCCAGATGCAGCGCTCCTAGTGGCCGGGGACTTTAATGCAGGGAAACTTAAATCCGTTCTACCTCATTTCTACCAGCATGTTAAATGTGCAACCAGAGGAAAAAAAACTCTAGACCACCTTTACTCCACACACAGAGACGCATACAAAGCTCTCCCTCGCCCTCCATTTGGCAAATCTGACCATAACTCTATCCTCCTGATTCCTGCTTATAAGCAAAAACTAAAGCAGGAAGCACCAGTGACTCGGTTAATAAAAAAGTGGTCAGATGACGCAGATGCTAAGCTACAGGACTGTTTTGCTAGCACAGACTGGAACATGTTCCGGGACTCTTCAGATAGCATTGAGGAGTACACCACATCAGTCACTGGCTTCATCAATAAGTGCATCGATGATGTCGTCCCCACAGTGACCGTACGTACATACCCCAACCAGAAGCCATGGATTACAGGAAACATCCGCACTGAGCTAAAGGGTAGAGCTGCCGCTTTCAAGGAGCAGGACTCTAACCCGGACGCTTATAAGAAATCCCGCTATGCCCTCCGACGAACCATCAAACAGGCAAAGAGTCAATACAGGACTAAGATTGAATCGTACTACACTGGCTCTGACGCTCGTCGGATGTGGCAGGGCTTGAAAACTATTACAGACTACAAAGGGAAGCACAGCCGCGAGCTGCCCAGTGACACAAGCATACCAGACGAGCTAAACCACTTCTATGCTCGCTTCGAGGCAAGCAACACTGAAGCATGCATGAGAGCACCAGCTGTTCCGGATGACTATGTGATCACGCTCTCTGTAGCCGATGTGAGTAAGACTTTTAAAAAGGTCAACATTCACAAGGCCGCAGGGCCAGACGGATTACCAGGACGTGTACTCCGAGCATGTGCTGACCAACTGGCAAGTGTCTTCACTGACATTTTCAACATGTCCCTGATAGAGTCTGTAATACCAACATGTTTCAAGCAGACCACCATAGTCCCCGTGCCCAAGGACTCTAAGATAACCTGCCTAAATGACTACCGACCCGTAGCACTGACGTCTGTAGCCATGAAGTGCTTTGAAAGGCTGGTCATGGCTCACATCAACAGCATTATCCCAGAAACCCTAGACCCACTCCAATTTGCATACCGCCCCAACAGATCCACAGATGATGCAATCTCTATTGCACTCCACACTGCCCTTTCCCACCTGGACAAGAGGAACATCTACGTGAGAATGCTATTCATTGACTACAGCTCAGTGTTCAACACCATAGTGCCCTCAAAGCTCATCACTAAGCTAAGGATCCTGGGACTAAACACCTCCCTCTGCAACTGGATCCTGGACTTCCTGACGGGCCGCCCCCAGGTGGTAAGGATAGGTAACAACACATCTGCCACACTGATCCTCAACACGGGGGCCCCTCAGGGGTGCGTGCTCAGTCCCCTCCTGTACTCCCTGTTCACCCATGACTGCATGGCCAGGCACGACTCCAACACCATCATTAAGTTTGCCGACGACACAACAGTGGTAGGCCTGATCACCGACAACGATGAGACAGCCTATAGGGAGGAGGTCAGAGACCTGGCCGTGTGGTGCCAGGACAACAACCTCTCCCTCAACGTGACCAAGACAAAGGAGATGATTGTGGACTACAGAAAAAAAAGAGGACTGAGCACGCCCCCATTCTCATCGACGGGGCTGTAGTGGAACAGGTTGAGAGCTTCAAGTTCCTTGGTGTCCACATCACCAACGAACTATCATGGTCCAAACACACCAAGACAGTCGTGAAGAGGGCACGACAAAGCCTATTCCCCCTCAGGAGACTGAAAAGATTTGGCATGGGTCCTCAGATCCTCAAAAAATTATACAGCTGCACCATCGAGAGCATCCTGACTGGTTGCATCACCGCCTGGTATGGCAACTGCTTGGCCTCCGACCGCAAGGCACTACAGAGGGTAGTGCGTACGGCCCAGTACATCACTGGGGCCAAGCTTCCTGCCATCCAGGACCTCTATACCAGGCGGTGTCAGAGGAAGGCCCTCAAAATTGTCAAAGACTCCAGCCACCCTAGTCATAGACTGTTCTCTCTGCTACCACACGGCAAGCGGTACCGGAGTGCCAAGTCTAGGTCCAAAAGACTTCTCAACAGCTTCTACCCCCAAGCCATAAGACTCCTGAACAGCTAATCATGGCTACCCGGACTATTTGCACTGCCCCCCCACCCCATTCTTTTACGCTGCTGCTACTCTGTTAATTATTTATGCATAGTCACTTTAACTCTACCCACATGTACATATTACTTCAACTACCTCAACTAGCCGGTGCCCCCGCACATTGACTCTGCACCGGTACCCCCCTGTATATATAGCCTCCCTACTGTTATTTTATTTTACTTCTGCTCTTTTTTTTCTCAACACTTTTTTTGTTGTTGTTTTATTTTTAAAAATATGTTTAAAATAAATGCACTGTTGGTTAAGGGCTGTAAGTAAGCATTTCACTGTAATGTCTGCACCTGTTGTATTCGGCGCATGTGGCCAATAAAATTTGATTTGATTTGATTTGAAATTCAAACCGGATACTGTATACATTCACATATAGTGATACAATAAATGCGCCATACTCAACTAGCAGACCGCAGTACGGATCTGAACCCAGAACGGGGTCAATACGTACTGCAGTTCTCAACACAGATTTTTTTGGAACTGTTGAGACTTATAGTAGAATAATAGAATGCACAAGGTGCAATTTCGACATTTGGTAGTGCATGGGCAGTTTTCCCTCTTGTTATGTCATTCACTGACAGACGTGGAGCTATTTATAGTCAGAAATGTCCAGATGATCAACTATGAGCCCATGTTAGATAAGTTAGGCTAACTAGCTATCTAGCTATCTAAATCTTGTAGTTATCATGGCTGGATTAAGTGCCCAGGGGCCTCGATCCCCAAGGGGCCCCTATTGATTTTGTTGTGTCACTCAGGCATTATATGAAAACACATTAGACATGGCAAAATGTGTAGAATTGCAGGAAATGAGCTTTAAAACAGCAAAATGTTATCTCCGCCAACCAGAGAGGGGTGTGAGCAATTAGAAACATTTGGGGTCGCATGGGTTGCGAGGTGCGGGTTTGTTATTACACCGATAAATTACAATATCAATTTGGACCTTTGCCACCCAGAAAATGTGTGTGACCAGACATTCTCAAATAGTAGTTGAGTACCGGACATTCTCAAATAGTAGTTGAGTACCCCTGAAATACAATATATTATATTAGTATACTAACTAACAAAGCTAGCTAGCTAGCTGCCAAACTAACTAGCATTGTATCTAGGTAGAGAAATATAACGCTAGCTAGTTTTGGCTAGCTTGTTACCTAGAAAGCTTTGGTGGTTAGCTATCTTGCTAGCTTCGATAGAGTCAAAGGTGGAGAACATTGATGCACCATTTTCACCCAATCAGCGAACACATAACGGCTTTATATTATTTCGCTACTGAATACCGTTGCCCCTTGAATATACAATTACTATATTCAAATGTGTAAATTAATGTATAATATACCAAATGTTTGTAATATTACAAGCAAAACTAACCACAAAAAGATTTACACACAGTTGAATGCTCTATAAACACAAGACAGTAATTGCAGTCATGTATTTGTCCCGTGAAAATGTGCATGTTATGAAAATCTGGTTGTTACAATGCTTGTTACTTACGTGAAAGTATCCACTAAGATCAAACTTTGCATTGCTATTGTTCTCAGCTGAATCCATTTCAGCAACAAACGTCACAAAAGTGTGGTGTAAGGGCACCTTCATGTAAAAGTGCTGCCAAAACTCCACTTTGCGTGTGGCATAAGGATAACCCATAACTAACTATTATATAAAGTGTCATGTCTGTTATGAGGACTGACCTGACCTGCCCTGACCTTCACTGGGAACATGAGACCTGAATCCTACCCTAGTACCCTCATCCGTCCCAACGCTCCTCTGACTTTATTTCCATCTCAATGGCTATCCCAACTGTTAAAAACCCCAGTAGAACTCAAAGCCGAGGCAAACATCCCAGTCGACTGAGCAGACAAAAGGAAGACTAGGCTATCTGAACAAGGAACAAGTCCTTTTCTTCTCTTCTCTTCATTTACCAGGCCCATTGGGTTGACTTCCCTCTGAGTCAACCATGTACCATGACTCAAACAACACTCCGGTTGGTCCTTAAGGTGGAGATGCAGATAATGAGGTCAGGGAAACTGTGGAGTAGTTGAGTTAAAAAAGACAAGAAGAAGGAGGAGGGGGGGGACTCTTGTTTCCCCCACTGTGACGGCAGAACATCCAGAGAAGCAGATGTATGGGTACGCAGAGTGGGGGAGGGGATGGGAGCATTCCTGGAGGGGCATGTGTGCCACTCGACTCCAGGCAGGTTTCTTATGGTTGAGCTCCAGGCTACCTAACTTCTCAATGGGACACAAGTGACTGTCTACTGACTAGCATGACCACTAGTCCAAGGATAGCTAAAGTGTGACATGATGTGGGGATTGACTGGCCAAATAGGAGGGATTTACACCGGCAGAGGATTCAGAAACAAAGCTATCTAAATGGTGATTTAGTGCGCACGTTGAGGATACCACCACAGCTTATGAACCAAAGCATCCAATTTCTTTACAGAAATCTATGAACAAAGTACCCTATTACATACATTGACTAAAGCATTAACTGAACACCAACACGATCAAATCATCATCAACAAAAAACAATGTAAAATGTTACTTTTTAAAATTATTGTATTTTACCATTAACTGTACTGCACTGGATGCTGTAGAAAGATAGCCTATAGTAAACTGCAACCCAACCTAACAAGCTTTCATGTGGCAGCCAATAGCTTGAGGTGAGGGTGCGGGATGCATAGTTGACTCATCGTGCATACAATCTGATATGACCTGCATGGGTTCTGCCACCCTGGTTCTTCACGGGGGTTGGCATGGTAAATACCACTCAATGACAGACAGAAGAAATGCACCACAGAGCCTCTGATGACAGGCCACACTGCAGCTCCCATAGGGATGAACTTAGAGGTGACCATTTCCCTTCCTCTTATCCCAATTGCATCACAACCTAACAGATGGCTTGGGATCGCACCGATGGTTTAACTGAGATTAATTCAACAGGAGAGGATGGTGTATGGGGGAGATTGACATTTCTCAACTAGGGTTGAGGCAGATGGATATTTTTCTGTTTTAAAAACATCGGTTTCTTAAGGCCATGCCATAATAGTGATCAATAGCTGAGGTGGATGCAACTTGTGGGCCACATGATCACCATTACGGTAGTATGCAACTGTCTACAATCCTGTAACGTCTTTGGGCACCTTTAACATCACTCCAGTTGGGCAGGCCTCAAACAACTGGACACAGAATGTTCACTGTCCAGTGAAAAAATAAATATGTCTTGAAATGTCATGGTATTGACATTAAAGTCTGAAAGGCAGGAGTATTTTCGGTTGCCCAAAAATGTTAATCACCTGTTTATACGCAGACATAGGGGAGGAACCAGAAACAAACAACAAAGATGCAAATAGGACTTGAAAAAGAATCCCACAATTAATCTGTAATTTTCAACAATTGGTAAATGTTGGATTCTCTGAAGCTTGCACAGCACAGTTACTTCTTGGATAATAATGATGTTATTTTCTAGTTAGACTCGTTCCCCTTTCTTCACCCCCACTACACACCATAGGAAGACAAATAACCCCTTCCTTTTATGCATTGCACCTTTTCAACAGTTTCCTCTACAAGATGAACTGGCTCGCCTGTCTGTACAGTAACTACAGTCTGGCAGCTGGCCATCAGACCGATTCCAACTTTCCATAAATCTGCGTCATGCTGACAGGAGTAGATCTGAAGCACATGCATGGAGAGAGGGAGGGCTGCTGTCTAAATTGACTTGATCCAGACAGAAGAAGATATGTGCTGCCCCCCTGCAGCGTGTGCCTGTTAACTGTAACCAGATAAGCCCACTGGGACTTTAAGAAAGTTTTCCAACAGTCTGAGTAAAGCCAATGGGGGACAACAGTTTTATGACTTATTGATTGCTCTTCATGTCTATACGATTTTAAATGTGTGTAATGTCAGGATATCCTGGGCCATTGTAGGAAGTTCCTTAGCCAGGGTAATATCAAATGCCTGCTCAATCAGGGCTAGTTCACCACTTATCCTTGTTGAAAAACACATGTAGTCCCCAGTATCTATGCTGCAATAGCCTATGTGCCAGGGGGCTAGGGTCAGTCTGTCCTATCTGGTGCAATGTGTGATCTCAAATTCCCCTGTCCTATCTGGTGTCCTGTGTGATCTTAGGCATGCTCCCTTGAATGCTCCTGGGTGTCTCTCTCTCTGTCTCTCTGTCTCCCCTCCCGGAGGACCTGACCCCTAGGACCATGCCTCAGCGCTACCTGGCCTGACGACTCCTGGCTGTCCCTGTCCCTAGTCCACCCAGTTGTGCCGCCGATCCAGTTCTGCTGTCTTCTGTGCGGCTATGAAACTACCTTGTTCCGGACCTGCTGTTTCTGGCCTGATTACTCCTGTCTGTCGGTTATGGAACACTGACCTTTTTCCCCGGACGTGGTACTTTGTCATGGACATGCTATTTCGACTTTCTCTCTCTCTCTGACCTGCTGTCTTGACCTCTGAATGCTCGGCTATGAAAAGCCAACTGATATTTACTCCTAAGGTGTTAAACTGTTGCACCCTCTATAACCACTGTGGTTATTATTCGATCCTGCTGGTCATCTATGAATGTTGAAACGTCTTGAAGAACGATCTGGCCTAAATGGCCTTACTCTTATAATCTCCACCTGGCACAGCCAGAAGAGGACTGGCCATCCCTCAGAGCCTGGTTCCTCTCTAGGTTTTTTTGTAGGTTCCTGCCTTTCTAGGGAGTTTTTCCTAGCCACTGTGCGTGTAGATCTGCATTGCTTGCTCTTTGGGGTTTTAGGTTGGGTATCAGTATAGCACTTTGTGACAATTGCTATTGTAAAAAGGGCTTTATAAAATACATTTGATTGATTTATTGTAATAATGGTCAATCCTAAAAAAAGAAATGTGCCTATGTTCACAGACAATAACAATTAGGATAGAATTTCAAGTCTGTCCAAGAGGACTGTTTTTCTTAGCTATTTATTATGAAAATATATCTTTATACATACTGTATGCAATACAGCAGCATATATATATAAATAGATATAGGTCTATAGAAAATGGATAGGCAATTATAATAGAATGTCCAGGATATATATATAATAGTAATGTACTGGTGTGTGTGTGGTTGTTCATTGGTAGTAACATAATATGTAGCATATTACAGTTTTTCAAAACTGTTGTAAATATTTACATTTTAGAATATTGACTTCACTCACCCGTTTGAAATCAAATACCACAGTAATATAAGTACCATCTCCTTGCTTGAACTCGACTGTTATGGAATCCTTCTCACTGTCTGCTTCCAAAATCTCCTCTGCAATTTGTCCATCACTTAAACGCACTCGTACTTTTAATTCTGAACTAATTCCAAGCGACCCAAAAAGATTTACCACTAGTAGAGAAATCAGAACTGCTGCCACTGCCGATATCTCCCTCGCATACATTCCCAAACTCATGGAAGAACTTGAAGTTTAACTATAAAAAATCTGTCGACTACCCTAGGTGTAAATAATCTTGAAATCGGTCACGAGTTTTTACCAAGTAAACGAAAAGTCCCGGACCGAAAAGCCTGCATGAATTTCAATCTATCCACAGATTGAAATCACTGTTATGAAATCTCTGCGTTGTGTAGCCAACCTAGTACGTTCTATATTATGATACATTGTAGCGTTTCTGAAGTCATCAGAGTACATGTGAAGATAACGTTTTTGCGCATAATCTTTACTGTAAAATGTGCGCTCTTCGTTCAGACGACTTCAAGCAGACTTGAATTGTGCAAGCCTGGTTGATGAAAAATGTAAGTCCTCTTTTGAGTTTACGATTGCGTCCCTGTCACGACTTCACCGACGAAGCAGTGCTTGCTACTTCGCTCAGTGCGTTGTTTGGCTGACGACTCAAACTGAATTCTTCCGCTGCCTTTTCGTTCACTACATACAAGAGAAAGGTCCGTGCTATCCAGAACCCTTAAGACGTCCCTACTCCATTGAAGCAACATTTTTAAACGGCTAAGGTTAGGGTTAGGTAAGGGTTATAGTTTATTTAGGGTAAGGTTCATGCTTTGAACACACCGACTCCGTTATTGCGCAAAATAGTATGCAGCATCATCTAGATATGTGTGCAACAAAAGTTCAACATTCACCTTCTGCTACCATTTCTGTCAACCCGTTTACGCATACAGTTTGATGCATACGTTCGATAAATCCAACGTATGCACCACACAGAACGCACTGCAACTGCCTCTGCAACGCAATGCTGCAAGGCAAACGCAGCGTTCCATTGGAAATGAATGTACTTCTGGTGTACCAAAACGCAAGGAAGCAGATAGCACACCATACAAGAAACTTCGTGGGCGTGACGTTTGGCCGAAGCAATGAGTTTGGGTAGCCAGGCAAGTGCGCTGTAGGCATATTGGTGACAATTGCGGGCTCGCAAAGCTTAAGGAAATATCACTCCCCAAACAATACTCGCCGAGAGGCGCCAAGGACACGATCTGTTACAGAACAAATTAACTCATTGGTCCAATAGAATAGTTTGCACAATAATACATTTCAGTAAGTGCATCAATCATGGGCGTGCTGCAAGTATTCTATTCTAATCATATACCGCAATGAATGATCTGTTCTTACACCAAATGGCCCAATTGTTATCCTAAGTGTAGGGAAAGTAAATATTGAGCTTGACCAAACCTTTCTAGGACACCGATCATGCCAAGCAAAGGAGAGGTCAACTTGAAATCTGCCCCCCCCCCAAAAAAAACATTAAATTGGTATGATTGGGTAAGACATGTTTTCTAATTACAGTGTTATTACACAGGTTTAACAGCAACTTAATGAAAACTAAAAAGTGATTAATTTCTAAGCTTGAGGAAATCAGGCAGACTACTTCAACATGTTGGTGTCAAGTTCTGAGCATAGTTTTGCCTACATGAACCTTCAACAAGAAAAACAAGCCAAAATGACTCAACAAATCAGATTATATAACTCCATGAGATCAATTTAGCCAGACTGCAAAACTCCACATTACCGTGATCAGCAATAGGCTATATCAGGGTTTACAAAATCGTTGTTTTCTAAATCTTTTGGGGGCTTTGTAAAGACAAAAGCTTGGTCTGCCACCTTCTGAGTGCTGGGCACAGGCTCTGTTCAGAAATGGCTGTACAAATTCCAGTACAAAAAGCCAACGGGAGCTCAGTGAGCATCCCAGTTCATGGGAGTAGCTTACTTTGCTCATAATTATGAAATGTTACAAGAGAAAAGGAAACCTGTACAAAGGATTGTTGCTCCTAAAGGCAAATTCATGATCTATAAGGTTTTGACCTCTGGTCTTGTGTGATTGTCCCAGCACCAGTATACATTTAGGATGTTCATATCATTGCTTTGTTTTTAAATCTATCTAATCTACAGTATTTGCTGGGACAAATACTGCATTGAGCTCATAGATGGTGTGTGGTGCCCGAGGAGGTTTCATTATAACTGTGCGACTCACTAAGGGGCCTCTCATTTCCAGATGGAGACAGAGTGTAGGGCCCCTTTGGCTCCTATTGTGTGTTTGATTTACAGGCACTGGTCAGAGCTATGGTTTAGGGGTGTTTAGTCTCTGTAAATACAGGGGCCACAATCACATACATGTTGTGTTGTATACATTAAAACTAGTAGATAGTGATAGCGCTGACGTCATCCACGTATTCCTATGGAAAACTCCTGATGGCGCATGAGGCCGGAAGTATTTTAATTTGAAGCGCGTCATGTTGCTGAATGGCACAAAAAAAATAGCTAAAAGGCTCTGCATGGTCAATCCGACATCTGACGTGGCCGTACAGCATTTACTGCGATGCAGCCTTCACAGACTTCAGGGCTTTCATACTTCTTGCGTTTAGCGGAGCAGAGTTATTGTGAACCCCTAGGTTGTTACGCTGTAGCCCACCTGTTGAGCTCATGACTTAACGCTCCAGACCGGACACTGGGGGCCTGATTGTATATAGTAACATGGCCATTATATAAATTACAAAAAACAAATAGAACATCAACATGTTGAGGAATGTGCATCGTTTGCTTGCTTCCTTCTCAGGGTCTCTCCCATTTCTTACTGTTATACATTAGGAGACTGTGCTAGAGATTTTCCTCAGTGTTTTCACAGGGGCGTTTCTAGGATTTGAAGACATTTGGGGCTTAGCCCAAAGCCAGTAGGGGGGTCCGGGGGCATTCTCCCTCAGCAAAAAAAAGAAGGAATTTCAACAGCTAAATACATGAATTTGGTGCACTTTGAGATGAACATTGAGAGATTACATATTTTTCAGGTAATTTACATCTTCCCACCTGCCACAGCAGACACTGCCAGTACAGTTGCTACTGTGGGTCTCTCTACTCTGGAACACTCTTTACTCTCTACTTTGGAACACATACATCTACAGTGTGTTGCCAAAATCCACTCAACAACTACAAACATAGACTCTGACTTGTCCAAACTGATTAAATAATCCCACAGTACCCAACCCCCCCCCCTCTCTCTCTCAAATCAAATCAAATGTTATTTGCCACATGCGCCGAATACAACAGGTGTAGACCTTACAGTGAAATGCTTACTTACAAGCCCTTAACCAACAATGCAGTTTTAAGAAAAAGAAAGTGTTAAGTAAAAAATAGATGAGTAAAAAATAAAAATAAAGAGCAGCAGTAAAATAAAATAATGGTAGTGAGGCTATATACAGGGGGTACCGGTACAGAGTCAATGTGCGGGGGAACCGGTTAGTTGAGGTAATTGAGGTAATATGTACATGTGGGTAGAGGTAAAGTGACTATGCATAGATAATAAACAGAGTGGCAGCAGTGTAAAAGAGGGGGTGGGGTGGGGTGGGGGGAACAATGCAAATAGTCCGGGTAGCCATGATTAGCTGTTCAGGAGTCTTATGTCTTGGGGGTAGAAGCTGTTAAGAAGCCTTTTGGACCTAGACTTGGCGCTCCGGTACTGCTTGCCGTGCGGTAGCACAGAGAACAGTCTATGACTAGGTTGGCTGGAGTCTTTGACAATTTTTAGGGCCTTCCTCTGACACCGCCTGGTATAGAGGTCCTGGATGGAAGGAAGCTTGGCCCCAGTGATGTCCTGGGCCGTACGCACTACCCTCTGAAGTGCCTTGCAGTCGGAGGCTGAGCAGTTGCCATACCAGGCAGTGATGCAACCAGTCAGGATGCTCTCGATGGTGCAGCTGTAGAACCTTTTGAGGATCTGAGGACCCATGCCAAATCTTTTCATTCTCCTGAGGGGGATTAGGCTTTGTCGTGCCCTCTTCACGACTGTCTTGGTGTGTTTGGACAATGATAAATTGTTGGTGATGTGGACACCAAGGAACTTGAAGTACTCAACCTGTTCCACTACAGCCCTGTCGATGAGAATGGGGGTGTGCTCAGTCCTCTTTTTTTCCCTGTAGTCCACAATCATCTCCTTTGTCTTGATCACGTTGAGGGAGAGGTTGTTATCCTGGCACCACGCAGCCAGGTCTCTGACCTCCTTCCTATAGGCTGTCTCATCGTTGACGGTGATCAAGCCTACCACTGTTGTGTCGTCAGCAAACTTAATGATGGTGTTGGAGTCGTGCCTGGCCATGCAGTCATGAGTGAACAGGGAGTACAGGAGGGGACTGAGCACGCACCCCTGAGGGGCCTCCGTGTTGAGGATCAGCGTGGCAGATGTGTTGTTACCTAACCTTACCACCTGGGGGCGGCCCGTCAGGAAGTCCAGGATCCAGTTGCAGAGGGAGGTGTTCAGTCCCAGGGTCCTTAGTTTAGTGATGAGCTTTGAGGGCACTATGGTGTTGAACGCTGAGCTGTAGTCAATGAATAGCATTCTCACGTAGGTGTTCCTCTTGTCCAGGTGGGAAAGGGCAGTGTGGAGAGCAATAGAGATTGCATCATCTGTGGATCTGTTGGGGCGGTATGCAAACAGGAGTGGGTCTAGGGTTTCTGGGATAATGGTGTTGATGTGAGCCACAACCAGCCTTTCAAAGCACTTCATGGCTACAGACGTGAGTGCTATGGGTCGGTGGTAATTTAGGCAGGTTATCTTAGTGTTCTTGGGCACAAGGACTATGGTGGTCTGCTTGAAGCATGGTGGTATTACAGACTCAGTCAGGGACATGTTGAAAATGTCAGTGAAGACACTTGCCAGTTGGTCAGCTCATGCTCGGAGTACACGTCCTGGTAATCCGTCTGGCCCTGCGGCCTTGTGAATGTTGACCTTTTTAAAAGTCTTACTCACATCGGCTACGGAGAGCGTGATCACATAGTCATCCGGAACAGCTGATGCTCTCATGCATGCTTCAGTGTTGCTTGCCTCGACGCGAGCATAGAAGTGATTTAGTTCATCTGGTAGGCTCGTGTCACTGGGCAGCTCGCGGCTGTGCTTCCCTTTGTAGTCTGTAATAATTTGCAAGCCCTGCCACATCCGACGA